GTGTGGGTGTGGGTGTGAGTGTGGATGTGGGTGTGGGTGTGGGTGTGGGTGTGCGTGTGGGGTGTGGGTGTCGGTGTGGGTGTGAATCTTGTATTCTATAAGACACCCACATTACACCCCACACCCTCACACACCCACACCCACACCCACACCCATCTTTGTCAGAAACACAATGGGCCTTCACCTAATCAACTAAAATCCAAGAGTTAGGCCTGGTTTTGTTGTATCACTAAAATGAGCAGGATTGCCTTCCATATGCAGACGACAATATGCGAGACCTGAGGGTGCGGATGTGAATGTTGATTTCTTTTTTTCTCACATCCACGCCCACATCCTTTCTTTTTTGTTACAATCGCTGTATTAAACATCATATCCACGCCCTACTATCGAAAATACAGGCGAAAGCACGCAAAAAAACATGCAAATGTGTTGCGTCTGTATAATTTGTGTTCGTTTATCGTCTCAACACTTTATATGAGCTAATGTGCTGAAAGTCAAGTGTAAAATTATGATAGAAAAATGATCTTCTAATTTGATTCATCCTCATTTTATAAATATAACAATTCTACTTATATTTATTTTATAAATACATATTTAAGTAAATCTTAAGTAAGACCTCTATTTCATATCAGACAAAGAGATATGAATTCTTATCAGCATTTTATTTATGACTTACTGCGAATGACTTAAGCATGGTGTGATACATTTCTTTTTTATTTTTATACTCGCTCCATGGTTATTTTACTACCTTTATGACACTTTCGTTTTTGGATTAGAATTCCTGATCAGAGATTTTCAGTCGCGAGTCTAATATGGATACTATTTTTCCAGATGAAATATTTCTTCGCATATTTCGATATCTACCGAGATTAGACTTATTTCGTGGTTTCTATAATTTGAATTCACGTCTCAATCGTATTATAGGTGAGTTCTACGTCGATTTTCGTTCAGACTTAACCGAAAACCAACAACGATTTATTCTTCCAAACATTAATCCTAAGCGAATCCGCTCGTTCTACGTTTGTCAAAGCAAATACATATATTCAAAACTCAATGAATGTACTAATATTCGCGAACTAACATTCTCGTGTCGAACAGAGTACAATGTTTATACATACGTAGAGCCTCAATTAGTATATGTACAACCAAAGATATTTCCGCATCTAAAACAATTAACGATTTATGTACAATCATGAACAGATGTATATAAGAAGCTCTGTACCATGATATTTGGCAATAAGTTTCCAACATTGGAATCTGTACATTTACCATATGCTAATGGTGGCTGTATATCTGGAATAGAAACTTGGTCACCGAATTTGAAGTATGTTACCATCCAATTTTGTAATAGCTCGATGTTCTATCCATTACTTAACAACTTGCCAAATTTGAAAAGTTTTAACTGTGCACTGAGTACAAATAGTTCAGGATTATTGAAAAACCGAAGTTTAGGATTAGAAGGCTTATACTTGGAGACTTACGACAGATCATCGACAGGCTTCTCTGGCGTAAGGATGGGACTTGGAGAACTACTCGACGTATATCAATGTGTGCCCAACTTGGTACATACCATTATCTACATATATGATGGAAGTCCGCTTGATCATATCATGGATCAGTTTAATCGCGTTCTGTTGAATTGTCCAAAACTAGAGACATTTGACTGTTTCATTGAAAGTTACTCACAGATGGAAAGTTCTGAATCTGCCAATGAAATTAAGAAACGCTATCCTCTATTTCAACATTCCTGTGTTTTTGCGTGCAAACAACAAAGAGGATATTTACGTGGAATAAAAATGCAACGATAATAATTCTGTTTTGTTTTCTACTTGAGATAAGCCGGTAAAACTTGCAATCTTCAAAGACATAAACTAACACGATTTTTCTCGCTTTTTAATAAATCATGAAATCATGTCCTATTTATGGAGTTCAAATTTGTGTATTCTAAAATGGTCTACTTTTTTCTACATCAGCTGCCTAACTTGATTGATAATATAAATGAAGATGAAACTGAATACTGCCATCTTGACTATTAATCAGAAAACCAAGCATCCATATTATGGGTGTGGGTGTAAGTGTGTGGCTGTGGGTGTGGATGAAAGAAGTAGGTACGCCCACATCCACACACACCCACACCCACATCCACGGCAAGTTTTTAAAATATAAATTTAAACCAAGCAAACGTTTTCATCGCAAGACATTTACACTTATGCGACCAAATGTCCTAGTGACCAAATGTCCGTGCGACCAATTGTCCTAGACCCATATTATCCGTTGCATCCTGATAAACGTTTTAAAGGTTTATCATTCTACTCTTTTTTTTTCAGTGATCAGAGGTCTCTTCTTGCTTCTTTCTTTTAGTTCGACTTTATTTCGAATGATGAGAGGAAAAAAAAAGAATCAAAGAATGTAAACAAAGAGAGCGAAAACAGAGCAGAGAGAGAGCAGAAGAGAATGCCAAAGACGAACAGAGAGAGAAAACGAACAATAACAGCTGAAGCGATGTGAAGATATGTGAACAACATGCCTGTAACAATATAAAATAATGAGATCAAATATATACCATAAAAAAGAGTTCAATGGAAAAAGTCACTTGATAGCCGTAGGTACTTAGTCACTTGATTTGTTTTTTTTCAACATAATATTACCACAAGCAATGCGAGCACCCGCATTTCTATCATAGAATTATAATTTAAGTTAAAGGTTAGATAAATTAGATCTTACCCAGTAGTTGTACTGTCTGTAAAACCACCCATACCACCGTCATCTCGCATTGCATGCAGAACAAAGGCTCGATTAACAATAGATTGTGTCGAATTGTGTAATTGAATAATCGAATCTTGCATGTTAATGATGATGTTACCAGCACGATTAGCAGTCACATTACCAAGATCTCCAACATGTCGATTCATAATATTTGCAGTAATAGGACCATGTGTTCTATCTGAAAAATAAAAGTTACAGACAAATTATTCAAAATGTTCGCCAACAACTAAGATTACACTCACTGTAAGGATTGAAGTGAGGTCCAGCTGCTGTACAGTTGAGTGCACCATTTATTAGTGGGTCTTTGTGTACGTGAAAGCCCTAAAATGAGAGTAACGATCAATTCAGAGTCAAGTAAGTTTAGACACTGGTGTTTTGATTTTTCAATTATTTTTGATTTTTCAAACTTACATGAACAGTGTTGGGTTTCATATTCCAAAATTTACCCTTAATAATGACTGGAGAGTTAGCATTCTTCTGCATGAATTGTAAGTAGCCGACAGTAACATTACGAGAATCTAAATTGACTTCAGCTGTCGCTATTAAGACACTCTGTGCATTACAAATGAAGAACAATGAAACAGCAGCAAGAAGTATGAGCATTGTGTTGTGACTGATTCTCTTCGCAAATAATCTAATAAAACAGAGTTAAATGCTAGAATATTCTATGATATAATAAAACTTTTTCTAGGTTTGTTGAGCCATCTACGTGAATTTATTTAACAGATAACAAATAGGTATTCATATTTAAATTTATTTAATTTAGAACGTGACTGTTTCCAGTTTTTGTAGCTTGCATAAAGATTATCATTGCTAGTCGAAATGATTCAAATTCAGCTAATCTATTCTCAATAATATTACTCACAGTAAAGAGCTATGGTCATTATTTTTCTTCGTACACGATGTTCTATAAGTTATGAAAGTTATGAAAAGGAACTTGTACTGCAAAGAGAACTTCCCTAATAAAATTGATATGCAACGACGAAATAGCATATTAATGAAAACCTCATAATCATTATCTGTCTTACTGTTTATCAGACACTTCTGTGTATATGTAAAATTTAATGCATTAGTTCCAATTTTATATTGACGAGCATAAATATATGCATGTGCATATTGATTAATTTAAATTCGTTTAATCGAGTACACAAAGAAATATTAAAAAACATGATGATTTATTAAAACTGTACATTCATTGATCGCATTTGAGAGTGTACTCTTGAGGACTAACTATTCAGTCATTTATAATGGAAAAGTTCATTGCGTAAAAAAGATAAGTTCACAATCTAAACTCAGTCGTCTTTGGAAAGTATTAATGAAACACGCAAGATCGAAGACATATTCGAGTAGTCTGATAGATTCATCGAAGAAATCGAGGGAGAGTTGGTAGACGAAGAGGAAGAGATCGATTCGCTAACAGACAAGATGGACGATTAACAATGTGTGTTGCTGCTCTTTTTACTTTTCTTAGTCGTCATTAAAAGAATGAAATTCAAGATATTGTCCTTCTGACAAGGTGGACACGACTGACTTAAGTGACTTAAATGACTTTAAATCATCTAAGTCATTTTAAGTCAATTAAGTCACGAAAATCATCTGTAAACGAATATCAATAAAGAATTAAGAAAAAGCAGATTTTTATTCAATCTCGACGATGTATAGTGTAAAATATTTTCTTCATATTTTTTTTCAACAATATACGCATACAAAACAGACGAAAGAAAAGGATACACATATGTAACTCGTGTATGCTATGCATTAATTAACATACGATGCTGCAAACGTAATGACACAAATTGTCGATCCCTATATGTCTTCGCTAAAAGGGTGCTAAAAGAAAACTGTTTTTACTAAACGATAGAGCTTTTTCTCCTCTTTCGAATCGTATATAACTTATTTTTATAACACGTTCATAACTGAAATGAGACAAAAGAAAAGAGAAGCACCCTAAAAAGCAATCCACACTTTTCTTGAAATTCTGAAAACAGCGCAAAATGTTGATCCCTATATCACATCGATATAAACATATCGAAAGGAATATTTTTTTTTACCAGTTGATAGGAAATTTTCTTCTCTTTTGAATAGTGTATGATTAATATTTATCACATATTCATAAATGAAATGACACAAGGAAAAAAGAGAAACACTCACGTAATGCATTTGTAACTTTTATATGAACTCATCAAAAGCATTGTGTTAGACAACAATTAATTCAATTTGTGTGAACTCGTTAAAAAGATCTTGTGAATCGGCGGTTGGTTACTTTGACTTTTATGAAATCGTTAAAAACATCCTGTAAAACAATAGTTAATTATAATTAGCTGTCATCTACAAGATGCTTTTGATGAGTTCACATAAAAATTAAAAATTTCTTCCGCGAAGATTTCTCTTTTTTTTCTTCTCGCTTTACTTACTAATATGTGACAAATATGAATCACGCACCGTTCGAGCGTGGAGGAAATTTTCTATCAACTGATAAAAAAATTGTTTTTTTCAGAACCTATTTATCGAAGAGACATAAGGATCGAAATTGGGTGCGATCCTTTTATAGAAAAAGTATGGATTTCTTTTGAGTGCTTCTCTTTTCTTTTGCCTCATTTCAGTTATAAACGTGTTATAAAAATAAGTTATATACGATTCGAACGAGAAGAAAAAGCTCTATCGTTTGGTAAAAAAAAGTTTCCTTTCAGCACCCTTTTATCGAAAACATATAGGGATCGATAATTTGTGCCATTACTTTTGTATCGCATGATAGTGTTAATCTTTTTATTTCTAAGCATGTATAGTCGTTGTTACTCGTTTTGTATACGTGTCATTTATTCTATTTCATATTGATATCACTTTTACATTTATGACTCCTTTAACATTATTTGTGCATACTAAAGTATCGCCGTCTGATGTGTTCGCCTTCCATGGTGATGACTTTTACAATCTTATAAGTCGGCTTGCCAGTCTAGATGAAACAGCATTACTTAAAACTTAAGGCATTCGAACGTAGATGCAGTTGGGTCTGAATTTGAGCATTTGCGCGCAGAATTCACTCAGAAACTTGTTCCAATGGTGCTATTCTTGTTTCAAGTACAGCATAACGAGCTCTATCCAATGATATAATCGGATTTCTCATAGCTCAAAATACACTTCGAAAAATCTCAAAATACTTGAAATTTACCATAGGACTTGGATGTACACTTCAGGATAACCATGCAGAATTCCCCTAAGAACTTGTTCCAAAGCTCATATTCTCATCCTAAGTACAACCTGACGAGCTCTATCCAATGATATAATTCGGATTTCCATTAGCTCAAAACATGCTTTGAAAAATCTCAAAATGTGGGTATTTTCCCTTGATTTTTCCAATATAATCGTGCAGAATTCGCCTAGAAACTTGTTCCAAAGCATATATTCTCGTTCCAGCTACAACTCAACAAGCTCTATCCAATGGTATAATTAGATTTTCCATAGGTCAAAACATGCCTTCAGAAATCTCACAATACTGAAATTTTACTAATGGGATCTTGGCATCTATAAAGTAATATTTGTCCATATTGGTTCATGGCATACTTGGAACCGGTCCAAACTTCTTCGAACCGAACCGAACCAGCCAGTTTGACTTTGTTCACCGGACTGGACCGACCAGTAACCTGCCCGTCCTAATTCTTGGCTTGGCTGGCAAAAAAGTAGCACGTCATAATTCTTAACTTGATCGGCGAAAATCCGGCCGCTCACAATTCTTGATTTAACTGTCGAACAACCTTGAGTGGCAAAAAAACTTTAAAAAGACCGGTAAAAAACCGGTGAAGATCGGCCGGTCTTCAAAGTTGGACCGGACCGGCAACCGGTAGACCGACCGGTCCGGTTCCAAGCATGAGCCACGAACCTGTTTCAAAGTTTCTATCCTTATGCAAAATAACAGCTAATGGACGCATTATCGTTTCATCTCTTACTCGGCTCATCTCGTCTAACTTGTCAGAAAAACAACTTACCAGCACTCCTTTATATTACATCGAAATAAACAAAATTTTCTAAATCAAGTTTTGTGACGAATTTTCCACGGATATACTGGAACAAAATTGACTTGTTGAGTTATAAGGCATAAAACCAGTATATCAGGATTTTTGGCGATATGTTTTGGACAATTGATAATTTAAATAGACCATCAAAAACCGCTCATCGAGTTCTACTTGGCACAAGAATAGAAAATTTGGCATAGCTATCTGGACCAATATGAGCAACTATTATTTTGTAGATGCCAAGATCCTAATAATGAAATTCCAGTATTGTGAGATTTCTGGAGGCATGTTTTGACCTATGGAAAATCTAATTATACCATTGGATAGAGCGTGTTGAGTTGTAGCTGGAACGAGAATATATTCTTTGGAACAAGTTCCTAGGAGAATTTTGCACGATTATATTGGAAAAATTAAGGGAAAATATCCTCATTTTCAGATTTTTCAAAGCATATTTTGAGCTAATGGACATCCGAATTATATCATTGCATAGAGCTCGTCAAGTTGTACTTAGAACGAGAATACGGGCTTTGGAATAAGTTCTTAGGGGAATTCTGCATGGTTATCCTAAAAGGGTGTGAGAGTATGGGTGTGTGGGTGTGGGATGTGGATGTGGATGTGGTGTGGATATGGGTGTGGGATGTGTGGGTGGGGGTGTGATTGTGGATATATGAATAATTGTCTACACCCACACGCCCACATCCCACACACCCACACCCCACACACCCACACCCACACCCACACCCACACCCACACCCACACCCACACCCACCCACACCCACACCCACACCCACACCCACACCCACACCCAAACACCACACCCCACACCCACACCCACACCGACACCACACCCACACCCACATCCACACCCACACCCCACCCACACCCACACCCTCAAGCGAAATGAATATCGATATCGACACGTTGTAATGCCTTAAAATTTTGCAACATTTGATCCCACACGTCGGCATATAGCCAGAAATACACATTGTTACAACAACAAAAGCCTTTAATTGTTAATGCAATTAACGAAGGCAAAGCAGATAAGAATTCAACTAACAATTTCAATCTCCAATTCTTGAAATCAAGATCGAGATGACGAATATGATATTGCATTGTCAAAGGTAGATACTTTCTGC